GTAACACACCTGTACGACTGAAACACGCTGAGGACTTTTTCAAGAATAATTTTGTGGATCGTAACTTTTTATTTTTTTATTTTTATGCTTTTATTTCAGCGAATCAAACAGCAGATAAACGACTGAATTTAGATTCATCTTTAGTTTTCTGATCGTTCATTTTCATGACGTCGCTCTCACCCATTCACACCACACTCACACCACACTCACCCATTCACAGCACACTCACCCATTCACAGCACACTCACCCATTCACCCATCAAAGGTAGTGAACAGTGGAATCACCTTCATCATCTTGCGGTCGCTCTTCATCCCTGATAGCTGCAGCGTTTCCACGTGATGGCGAGCGCTGTCATAGTCGATGAGTTTACGACTTCTTTTGGACACGCGGGTCTGAAAAGTTGAGTTTTAGTTTAAGAGCCTCCAGAACCGTCAAAGACCGTTAAAGACGGACTGGTTCTTACTTTGAGGTCCGGGAACTGTTGAAGGTACGAGTCCAGGTTCAGGAGAGTCGAGTCCACCAGTTTGTTATGGAAGTCTTCCCACAATGCATCACAGTCCTGCAGGAAATATAACAATCAACTTTCTCTGAATTCAGTTGTCTTTATTTTACGATATGTGGACGAAGGCCCCGTGGATCCGGCGGAGGTCGTGTTGTGTAGTTTCTGCTGACGACACACTCGTCTCCTTCTCACTGAACTTCTCGGCGTTTATTCTCGAACGTTCACTTATGAACATCGAACACAAACATCGTTACCGTCTGCTGTGGTTGGTTTTCTGCCTGGAGTGTCTCTTACCTTGCCGATGCTCAGGACATCGTCTTTCCCGTGCCAGTCTGGTTCATAGACTTCATGCAAAGACTGGGACAGATTGATGGACGCCTGCTGCATTCCTGAAAGACAGAAACACAATCAACTGATGAATATTTAATTATTGTTACAGGCTCAGCCTGTGACTGTGACTTCATTATGTGGGAGAGGTTAGAGTTCACGGGGGTATGTCAGCGGGGCATTGTGGGAAACGGTGTTCTTGGTGTTCGCGAGGGATGCGATGCAGGGAGTTTTGTGTGAGAGAGACGGACCCCGCAGCCACGAGTGTGATACTTTCTGTTTCTCCTTCTGTGAGGAGAGAAAATAAAAGTTCTTCCAACGTGTTCCCGATCATCTGTTTATGTTCCCTCAACCAGTTAAACCGAGAGCTGTCCAAGAGTGGTCCACCTACTACGGTTCGAGGGTCTACAAGCTCAAGTTTGGTAACAATATACATATATGTATATACATATATATATATATGTATATACATATATATATATATATACATATATATATATATGTATATACACACACACTGGAGATCAACGTTAGAGAACAAATGTTAAGTCCACTACATTGTTCTGTTTCATGAGTTACTTCGACTGTGAAGGACCGTTTAATAAACTTCAATAAGACATTTAAAGAAAAGTGTTAGTCTGCCACCTGCTGTTTATTTCTTTTATTATCTGACCAACACGATTAAACTGGCAGCCTGACTTCCTGTTTTCTCTGACTTTACAAGATAGTGGTCCAGATGAAGTCCAAAAGGATGACTCTGTCAGCAACAGCAGGAGATCTTTATATTACATCTTTACAAAGTCTCAAACTCATGTGGTCCACCAAGAAGTCCAATCGTCCACAAGAGACAAACGAACGAGAGGACAGGAGACTACAGAGAGCAGCTGGACTTGAACAGGGTCAGACTCAGAGTCTACAGAGCCCACTCTGCAGTGACCTCTCATGAGGAGGAAGAATCAAAAGGTTGGACTAACCTTTGACCTTTGACCTCTAACTGGTCCAAAGTTCATTTCCGTGATGAAAACAAGTTTAATTGATTTTGTTTTAATTTAAACACGATGTTTGTCTTCAAACTGGAGAAAGACTGAATCCAAAGTGTGTGAAGAAGTCAGTGAAAGGTGGAGGAGGAGTGTCGTGGTTTGTTGAATATTGTAGCAGAGTGAACGTGAACGTTAATCAGAACCTTTTTCAACAACATGTGATTCCATCACCCAATCAGACAGACAGTCTCATGCAGGACAAAGTCCCTGTCACACAGAAACACAAATAAAGCAGTTCCTGAAACTACAAAAACAACAAAAATCATAAAATGTCCAGCCCAGAGTCCTGATCCAAACTCAAGAGAAAACAAGGTTATGGTCTAGAAACCCACTACAGTCACCAAACTGTGGAAGAGACGAAAACAAGAGTGGACCAAAATCACAGCAGAGCGGTGTGAGGGACCGGTGATGTTGTGGCCGTGATGTGTTCACGTCCTTCAAAATAAAGGCCTGAAAACTTCCTACTAATGTGAGACTCCGAAACTTCAGACACTTTTCTTCTCATCAGTCTTTCAAATGTTGAACAATGAAGATTACAATATTTTGGAATAAGTCAAATGCTCAATAATTGTTCTCTAAATTTGGTCTCCAGTCTTTATAAATATATATAATTATTTTATGTTTAGGATCAAATCTTATTTAAATGTTGAGAATGTTCAGAACTCACCTTTTATTGCTGCCATGTATGACTTCATTTCTCTCTGCAGTCGAGCGCCTTCAGACTTCAGACAAACACAGAAAATTAGAAAAACTCACTTTAACAAACTTATGAACTTATTAAAGTGACAGAAACATTTAAACACTGAACAGTCAAAAAAACAAAGACTGGTTTAATCCAAACTGTAACCGGAGTTTTCCAGTTAGTCTGCAGACATTTATGAGACATCGTTGACAAAAATACTAAAGACTGACTTCATGCTTTATTTATAACCTTTATTCATCATTTATTATAACAAAGACTTGAACTGATCTGAGGTGAAGGACTGATATTGATCTCTTACCTCCTGCCTTTTGAAGTTGATCACCACTTGTTCAAATTGCTCATCTTTGGTCTCATCTGCTTTGCCAAGTTTCTGCAAAACCTGAGGATGTAAGAAATAAGAGAGTTAAAAATGAACCCAATTCAGGTCACGTTTCATTTGCATTGTTTTTCTAAAAGGTGCAAAAGTTCAAGTCAAGTTTTGATGATGCTGAGAATCAGTCCTGAGGAAACGAAATCACATGTGCACAACAGTTCCTGATCATGTTTTAAAAGCAGATTCTATTAAAGCCTCATAATGTGACAGAAAACACCAAATCATGTGATCACCTGACATCTCAGAACAGTTCACCCTTCTTTGTCTCTTTAGGTATAAAAACTGATCATCAGGACAGTTTTCATGATCAAATATGATCAAACCACATTCAGCGACTTCAACTCCCATTTAAATTTAGTCCATTTCACGGTCGTCCCTTTTTTAAGCACCTGACCACGACAGCTACTCGTCCATGTTTTACAAAAACATCCTTTTTTTTGGACATTTTCTTTTTCAGGACCGCGGACAGCGCTCTGTGTCGTTGAGAAGAGAACTGAGGAGTCTGGGAGTTTTCAGGACCACGGACAGTTATTTTGAAGGACCATGGCGAGCCCACAGACACATTACACATATTTGTGTTTTTATTCACACCCACATATCAGCTCATATATTGTAAAAGTTATAAAACCTTTAAAAGTAAGAATTTAACCAATCATCAGAGAGTTCCGGTTCAGTCTGAGACCGTCTACGATCCTCAATGACACTGAAAACAGACGCTAAAGACGACCTGATGTCACTAAAATGTCAAAGCTCATTAAAGTGAACCAGAATAGTATCTTTAAACAGACATTTGTACAGATTGGTGAATATCCTGCTGTTTTCTTAATCAGTAAGTTTTAATTAACGTCGTGAAATAAAGATGATTGTCTGTTAAAATAAACAGCACATTTACTGTTTATTTAGGACTTTAGTTCCACCTGCAGGTCGTCCTCGGTTTCCGGAAGACCTCTCCTATAAATAACGTGCAGGTAATCGTGACGTCATGACGCCTTAGAGGGAGGGCATCCCCGCCCCCCCTTCTGCCGACCTTGTCTTTTTTATGACACTTTCTTTTTTTTTTTTTTTAAGGAAATTTGAATCCGTGCGTGACGAACGTGCAGTGCTCGTTTAACGGCACACATGATGTCATCACGGTACCTTTTACACCGTGGGGTTATTAACGTCGTTTCTGACGATTTTACTCCGATACGCTCAGCTGTTTTATCGCAGACCATGTGACGTCAGTTTGTCATCAGTTCAACGTTAAACCGAAACAATTAAAACCGAATCAGAACCGAAGAGACCGAATCTAAACAGACCCGCGGAGCAGGCCTGAAAACAGCCACGGAGCAGCTTCACCCACCGACCAACGTCTTCACCTTCATCACATCCTTCATCCTCACCCTCCTCACCCTCCTCACCCTTAGCTCTTACCTTTTCCTGCGCGCGATTCAGACGTTTCTGCACGTTTTTAGCAAAAATTCCTGTTTTAATTTCCGCCATGATGAGCACGAGAGAGACGGATTAACGGCGCGCGAGAGAGAGAGATAGAGAGACAGAGAGAGAGAGAGAGAGAGGCTCACAGGAGGGGGAGGGGCGTGTGTGTGTGTGTGTGTGTGTGTGTCTGTGTGTGTGTGCATGGGCGGGGCTTAAAGCCACGGCTCTCCGTCAGCTGATGATCAAACAGGAGTGCCGCTCTCAGTCCGTCTCATCATCAGGTGACGTGTGTGCACGTGAGCTGATCATTGATGCGTCACTCTGACGTTTTCACAGCCGTGGATTTAATTTAACTGAAGAGAGGAGAAAAAATGACAGTTAATGACGTCATCAGGCCGAGTTTAGAACGAAAAAAATCATCAGAGAGAAAAAAAAAAGTTACTAAAATATAAAAAATATAATTTCCTAAAAACACTTTTTTGGAATTTAAATTTATTTATTCGATTAATTTGAAGAATAATCCGTTAAAAACACCGTCAGCCGGAAACTCACAGAGACGCTTTAAGTAACGACAAACACTTCCTATTTTTTAAACCTCCTCCTCCTCCTCCTCTTCATCCCCTTTTCTCTTCTTTCTT